CAAGACAAGGATGTTCACTATTACCACTCCTGTTCAATATAGTTTTGGAAACATTAGCCACAGTAATTAGACAAGAGAAAGAAATAAAAGGAATAAAGACAGGAAGTGGAGAAGTCAAATTGCCATTTTTTGCAGATGACATGATACTCTATATAGAAGACCTCAACAACTCCACCAAAAGTCTTCTAGACTTAATAAGCAAATTCAATAAAGTAGCTGGATACAAGGTCAACATACAAAAATCAATAGCTTTCCTGTACATGAACAACAGACTCACTGAGACAGAAATAGGGCAAACAATTCCTCTCCCAGTAGCATCCAAAAAACGGAAATACCTAGGAATTAACCTAACAAAAGAAATCAAAGACCTTTTCTCTGAAAACTAGAGCACTCTGAAAAGAGAGATTGAAGATTATATCAGAAAATGGAAAGACATCCCTTGCTCCTGGGTAGGAAGAATCAACATAGTGAAAATGGCCATACTTCCAAAACTGCTGTATAGATTCAAAGCAATTCCAACTGAGATCCCAGCAGCACACTTCACAGACCTTGAGAAAACAATCCAAAAATTCATTTGGAACCAGAGGAGACCTAGATTGGCAAAAGCAATTCTAGGCAACAGAGACATGGCAGGGGGTATCACAATCCCCAACTTGGAACTATACTACAAAGCTACTGTGATAAAAACACCATGGTACTGGCAAAGAAACAGACCAGAGGACCAGTGGAACAGATTAGAAGATGCAGAAACAATGCCAGACACACTCAGCCCCCTGCTCTTTGACAAAGAAGCCAAACACCCCCACTGGAGGAAAGATAGCCTCTTTAATAAATGGTGCTGGAAAAATTGGGTTTCAACTGGCCAAAGATTAAAACTAGACCTATATCTCTCACCATGCACTAAACTAAAATTGAAATGGATTAAAGAGCTAAACATTAAAACAGGAACACTGAACTGGCTGGAACAGAGGTGAGGTAGAACTCTTGAAGACATCGGTGTAGGAAAAGATTTTGTGAACAAAACCTCAGTTCCCCGTGAACTAGCACAGTCAATCAACAAGTGAGATCTTTTCTTATTAAAAAGCTTCTGGACACCAAGGGAAACCACCAACAGTGTGAAATGATAAACCACACTGTGGGAAAAAATTTTCACCAGCAGTCCCTCAGACAATGGTCTACTATCTAGAATCTATGAAGAACTTAAAAAAAATCAGACCTCCCAAATTTAAAGACCCAATCCAAAATTTGGCATATGAAATGAACTGACATTTCTCAAAGAAATAGACATAACAAATAAACATATGAAAAAATGTTCAACATCACTGGTCATTTGAGAAATGAAAATGAAAAAAACACTGAGATTCCACCTCACTCCAGAAAGAATGGCTGCTATCATGAAATCAACCAATAACAAATGCTGGCAGGGCTTGGGGAAAGAGGAACTCTATTCCACTGCTGGTGGGAGTATAGACTGGTGCAGCCACTGTGGAAAACAGTATGGAGATACCTCAAAGAACTAGGACTGAAAGTCCCATTTGACCCAACTATTCCCCTGCTGGGTATCTTCCCCAAAGAATTAAAAGAATCATACCACAGTGACATATGCTCCCTCATTTTTATAGCAGCACAATTTGTAATAGCTAATACTTGGAAACAGCCCAAATGCCCATCAACTGGAGATTGGATAAAGAAGATATGGTTTTTCTATAAAATGGAGTATTACTCTGCCATACAGAACAAGAAACTAGAGACATTTACAGCTAAATGGATGCACATTGAGGCCATACTCTTAAGTGAAATAAATAGAATACACACGTGTAAATACCAAATAGTTTCTCTCATATGAAAAACTGAAAGTGTAAATAAGGATCAAAATGTATAATTGATATTGTGAAATAGGAAGAAAAGTTGTAAGGAGTAGGGGAAGTAGGAGGGGTAGGGAAAGAAAAGGGAAAAGAAAAAATATGAGAAAAGGAAACAAATGGATACAAAGTCTTTGTAAATAGGGAAGGGAGGAGGGGGTGAAGGGAGGGCAGGGGAATGGGGAAAAAAATAAGAACCAAGATACATCATGTAAAGGTACAAGATTCTAATGATGAATGTAACTGTATTGTATACCTATAATGTACCAATAAACTTAATTTTATAAAACATTCTTTGAAAATATCCATGGACCTTTTCTTGTATAATAGATAATTTAAAATAGGAAGAAAAGGTCCAAATGGGAAGAGGAAGTGGGAGGGGTAGAGGCAAGGAAGGAAGGGAAAGGAATAAATATGGGAAAAGGAAAAAACAGGAAACAAAGTCTTTGTAAATGCAGAGGGAGGGAGGGGTTGAAGGGAGGGCAGGGGAATGGGGAAAAAATAAGAACCAAGATATATTATGTAAAGCTACAAATTCCTGATGATGAATGTCATCATATTGTATACCTAAAATGTACCAATAACTTAATGTTAAAAAGAGTTTAAAGAGAAAATATCCATGGAATAGTAGAAAAGTTGATAGTGTATTTAACTACAAATAAGATCATCATATAATCATAATTTGATGGTTTTCCAGGCTTATTCTCAACATAAATCAGTGGTATTCAAAATCAGTAGAATAAGGATAATAAAAAAAACCTGGGCTCCTTTGGATTCTTTTTGCCTCTTAATGCTGAAAAATGCATTATGATCTTAAAGACTTCTTCCATGGTAAGTCCTTGGCACAACAAATGTGGAGGGTTTCCTTGCCTAGGTCCTGCCCCCAGCCAGTTAAGTGACCATGAGTGCAAAACATGCAGCCATTTGTCACACCAGCAGAGGGCTCTAAAATTATACCTGCTAGCCCCAGAAATGGGATCTGGAGCAGAGTAAATGGAGGCTGGCTAGTGAAAGTTGGATTAGGTTTTCTTCCCTACTGCCATCTGGACCCAGAGGGTACCAGTCACATACACGTAGGTTTTCCTAGGACTGTTCTAGTTGTAGCACTGAAAAATCTCAACATACTGGCAAATCCCTCACTAGGATAGGAAATACCTGGCTCTTTACAGTGGGGGGAAAGAACAAAATTCATATGGAAAATAAAAATACAGTGATTAAAAGCAAAACAATTTTAGCATCAAATGAATATAGCACAGATTCTCCACCATCCATAGTCACTTCAGTTGTTGGAACCCATGATCTGTGCTTCACTTTGAGTAATGTGACTTAAGTGATCAATGTAAGGATCTTGAAATCATGAATGTTAAAAGTACATCTTTGACTTAATCTCTGGAATAACTATTGCACTTTGTACTGTGTTAGAGATAGCTTAATTTTTCATTATTGGGAATATTGTAACTGTGATCATTAAGAGCTCAGGTGATGAAATTGGGAACAATTATACTGTTAACACTATTACAACTCAAACACCACCAAACAAGACTAAATGACTATATTATTTTAGTGACAGAAGGAACACCACACCATATACAAAAAAAATATTTAGAATTGGGCACCATGGAGAAGAGGATATGAAAGCACACATGGTAACAGAATATCACATGTCTAGGATAAGACAGTTAAGTACTTCTAAATCAATGACATATTTGTCATCGAAATCAGACAGTTTATCTCCCTGAAAGACAATGATGTCCTGGCAAAACAACTACTGTTTTGTACATGTATATGTACAAGATGACTATCATCATTGCCTGACATACTGGCCTGCCATAAAATTTGATTTTAAAATGTGGGACAAGAAATGACTTTTGCAGTTGACTTTACTGTTTTGCTAATACATTAAAAGAAGGATGTCTTAAAGGGTGTAGGAATTTCACAGAAGTATAACTGTAAAATGAAACACAAATGTAAAAATACCTGATTGTGTCATAGGACAAATGGAAGCTTGTGATTTTTATTTTTTATTAAGTATAAGGAATATCTAATTACTGCATTATACTTATGTCCTCTCAAATTCTTACATTTGTATACAATACCTTAAGAGTATATAATAACATAGCCTATAGAATTTTAAATCTGGTAAAGAATTTTTTAAAAAGTTAAATTACTACATCATAGGACTTTCTGTTTCTTATTATAAAATACTGGTATAACTTTCTCAGAAACAGCATTTGTTTAATTAGTTTTAATATAAAATATTATCAATTGATAATGTTAATTAGTCCTGTTGCTTTATTTAAACAATGACATTTATGCAACTGAATAGTAAATAATACAGAATAATGTATAATTCAAATAAACTATTTTTCATGTCTTGTAAAAATAATTTATGCATTATCTCATGAATGTCATATCTTAAATCATTATGCTTTTCTTTTAGCTTGATACATAGTTTGATGTGGTTGTATATGTTGTTCCTAAAAAGCTGACAGCTTAGTAACATCCAAGTACACAAAAGTATGCCCACGACTTTCATAACTGCTTTGTAAGCTCCCATAAGGAAAGAGGTAGAGGTAGAGTGAACAGCCCAAATAAACTGCACTATTTTCCGTAGGCTCCACACCTTGTAAAACAAAGGACATCCCCGAGTTTTTCTCAGTTTCATCCATGTTTTTTTGACTTCAGAAAGAATACCATTCAGGAACAAAAAAAGTGAGGTATAAAAGAGGAAATTTCAAAAGGTTAGCTTGGAGCCCTTATAACAGGAGAAAGAAAACCAATTATGAAGCCAATAAGAAGAAAAATCAGCCTTAATGATTCCAAGGGCATTAGTACCAAATACAAATGACACTATTTTAAAGCAGGAATATTTGAAACAATCCAGGGAACTATTTAAATTTACTGGTCAAATTATACACAATGAAATTTCTACTTTTGAAGATTTCTGACGCCATACACAATTTTTCCTCAGTTACCAATGTTAGTGCTGATATACAAAGAACAGTATGGATTCAGTCTGTCAGTTTTTAAAAATAAAGTCATGTTCGTTGGCATCATTTACTTTGTAATCTGGCTGCAAATATCTCACTTATTCATTTATGTGTTGTATTTAATTAACGCAGTTTTAAGGATACTAACCTTTAGTCATATGACCATCATCGATACTTCCAAATTCTCCTTTCTTTAACTGACACTCAAGAGGGGAAAATCCTTTGTTACAATGACAATTTTGAAAATTGTTGCATATCTAAATTGATAAAAAAATAATTTCCTTCTAGTAAATATAAAATGTTTAAATCTTTACTTATAATATAGAAATGGAAAAAACTACAATAGGTATAAATTATGGTTTGTAGGATAATTATTTCCATATATTCACCCACTGTAAATGAATGTTTATAATAGTCTTAATAAGATTAAAAATCTTAATAAGATTTTATTTATATGTGCATTTCTATCCTTATTCTATATAATGTACATGTCTGTTGACAGTCTGAGAATCGAAAGATAAAGCCCTCAAGAATTATTAAGTCACCCAGAAAAAAGAAACAACTAGGCCCTGTTAAGCAAAAAATTATCTTTTAAAACTTTGTACCAGTAGGAAAATATTAAAAATGATTTCCTTTCTTTACATATGGGCATATGTATATATTGAGTTACACATGTCTCAGATTATCAACACAAATAGAGACATTTTGGTAAGTTATTTTGCCATAAAATGACCACTAAGCAAAAAGTTTAAAAACATTTTAATATATCATTAAAATAATTCACTTACTATTTCAACACCTTACAGCATCCTTTTTAGATTTTTAAACTCTTCATAACTAAATTCCCTGATCCTTAGTTTTAGTCCCCTAATTAAATTAATACCTAGCTCTCTTTGTTACTCAGAAACTTATGGATAAAATCAAATATACCTCAGAGTTCTAGTCATTAAATAAATTACAATACCTGTTTTATCAGAAAAATAACTCAGTTCTGAAAATTTATATATAAATCATTTTCCCTATTATAAAGAGGTGAGAAAATAGGCTAAAATAGATGGGAACAACTTTCATGACATGTAGTAAATGATGACTAAATATCTGACATAAACCAAAAAGGAATAATTTTTTATAAAGATGGCTTTTGATGGAGACTAATACTTATTCCATAGTATCTCATTCTAGAGACTTTATGTTAGAGAGATTAATCAAATTTCCTTTTGGAATCATCTGCACTTTAGAGAGCACATCTAGTTTTTCACAAACATCTGTCATCAAATAATTTCTCCTCCTCCTCTTCTTCTTCCATCTCTTCTTTTTCCTTTTATTCTTCCTCTTCTTCTTCTTTTACTCTATTTAATGCCAACCACAGCCAGACACAAATATCTCACTATTAATAGTAACATGCCCCTAATTATTATTAACTTGCTAGTTAGACCTGATAGCCCAGACTCTAAATTAACTATCAATACTTGAAATAAAATTCTAATGAAATTATTAGTTACTTTCTGCCTTCTCTTTGTAAAAAAAAAAAAATTTTCTTAATATGGTGACACAAGCACTTCTTGGACTTAGTGCACATCCACCCCCCACAGTTATCAAACATTCATACATCCAGAATTATCTTAAATGTTTCCTCTTTTCCTTCCCTAATAATTTAATTCCCTAATAATAGTTTGGTAAATTTCTTAAGAAAAGATTAAAGCTATAAATTATAGATGTTAAAATGTCATGATATAGCATGAAAGTGACTCAAACAGTGCCATTCAGATCATTTTACAAATCCTCCAGTTGTTTACTGAATTGTGAAAAAAATCATGTTCCTTTAAATGAACACTGTATTTACTTACCCCATTGCCACCACAATGTAGTTCAGGATCACAGCTTGAATTGAGAAGATGCTGAACATCTCTACAAACCCATTTATCACAATACTAAGGCAAAACAATGTGAAATGAAAAATAATCTCAGTCAAACAAATTGTGTGCATGGATACACATAATAAAAATTAGAGAAAATCCCTGAATTTCTGTTACCCAGAATTGGCACAAAAATCTGTGAGTACCCACTTTGGGAAAATATTTGTGTGGCTACAATGAAATAAACTACTTAACTTCAGAGTATTAAAATATTATCTTTTCTAAGGAGCTGAGAGCAATATTTTCTTACCATGTTGAATCTTACTCTCTTAAGAAGTAGCTGCAAAAATCATTTGGTCCTTTGAGTTCAGTAACTATCTGAGAATTTTTTAAATAATGCTCAACCTCAGACCATTATATCAACAGCTGCAAGGTTATACAATTACTGTGAGCAACCAGGGATGAGAAATATTGAGTAGGACAGGGAAGTCTTAATATTATGAGTATGAATCTCAAATGCAGAGAGTTGGCTAGTTGGCTGTTCCATGTGGAAAAAAATTGTAGAGAAAGAGAACATGATAAGAGATAATATGACAAAATTTAACATCCCTTCATGTTTAAAAACTTCAAAGAAACTGGGTATAGAAGAATTACATCTCAACATAATAAAAGCTATACATGACAAATATCATACTGCCTAGGGGGAAAGGGCATTTCATCTAAAATCAGGAACAAGACAAGATTTATCTAGTGCAAGAGATCCTTGTCTATCCATTCTTTATCATTCTCTTTGTACTTTACTTCACTCAAGTGAGAGATACCATACAGTATTTAATCTTGTGTGTCTGGTTTATTTCACTCTATAATTTCCCAGGTACATCTATTTTCCTACAAATGTCTCAAATGTGTCATTCTTCAGAGCTGAGTATTATTCCATTATGTATAGATATCACATTTTATTTATCCAGTTTTCTGTTGATGGGTATACAGGCTGCTTTCAAGATTTAGCCATTATGAATTGGGCTGCTACAAACATTGGTATGCATGTATTGGTATATGTATAGGAGCCTAATAACCCAAATAATGTAAACATTATATGCCACAACATGACGTATGACAAATAATAGCAAGAATAAAAAATGGGAGAAGGGAACTGGAGGAGGAGAGAGGGAGGGGAGAGAAGGGGGTTTAAAGAAAGAAACATGCTATAATATGCATGTGTAATCATTCCCCAAGATGATTATAAGCTACATGAACTACAAACATGTACAAATTTTTTAAAAAGACAAAAATTGCACCACTCTTATTCAATATATTAATGAAAACTTTAGTCAGAACAATCAGGCAAGAGAAAGTAGAAGAATAAAAAATCAACATAAAAACTTGATACCCTTCAGACACACGTGTTTAGATATTGCATTGTTTCACTGATGTGAGAAACCAAAAGGATAAATAAGATTCAAAATGTATAGTAGAGGGGCCAGGGATTTAGCTCAATGGTTCTGCCACCTGCCTCACAAGCACAAGGTCCCGAGTTCTATCCTCAGTATATATTTAAAAAATGCATAATAATATTGGGATATAGGAAGAAAATGTTTAAATGGGAAGGGGAATAAGGAAGTGGGGAGTGGGAAAGAAAGGAAGGAAGGGAAAAGAAAAAAGTGAATACAAGGGAAAATGGAAACAAAGCTTTTGTACATAAGGAGAGGAAGAAGGGTTGAAGTAAGGGGAGATTAGGACAAAAAAATAATCAGGATATGTCATGTACAGGTACAAATTCCCTACGATGAGTATGATCACTATGTATAGCTAAAAGGTACCAATAAAATTAATTTTATGAAATTGACACCTTTCCTATATACAAAGACTGAACTTTCTGAAAAATCAAGAAAACAATTCCATTCACAGTAGTCTCAGAAAATAAGAAAAGAACCTAGGACTATATCTAACCAAGAAAATGAAAGATCTGAACAATAAGTTAGATAAAAATTGCAGATCACTAAAGAAAGAAATTGAAGAAGACACTAAAAAGTGTAAAGCCATCCTATATTCATGAATAAGAAGCATTAATGTTGTTTAAGTAGCCATACTACCAAAAGAGTTCTATAGATTCAATCCAGTCAAAATGCCAATAATATTCTTCAAAGAACTAGACAAAAATTCATATGGAAGCACCAAAGTCCCTGAAGAACAAAAGGCAACTTGAATAATCCCAGAAACATCACAATACCTAATTTCAAAATATACTACAGAACCAATGTAACAAAAACATCATGATAGTGGTATAAAAAGTCATATAGATCAATGGGATACAACTGAGTATCCAGGATTAAAGCCATGTTTCTACTGTCATGTTTCAACAATGTAGTGAAAAACATACATTAGAGAAAAGACAGCCTTCTTCAACAAATGTTGAAAAAACCGCACATCTACATGAGGCAGACTGAAAGCAAATCCCTGTCTCTGTCTCTCTCTGTCTCCATCTGTCTCCCTGACCGCCCCCCATACACATACACACATACAAACAAAGAAAACATGAAGTAGAAATGGAAGTATTATGGAAGGAAAATAGGACCAGGGTGCCATGGTGGGGGGAAGTTGGCAAGAGAGGGTAACAGGGATATAATCAAAGTACATTATATGCATGTATGAAAGTGTTGAAATGGAACCCATTATTTTGTAACATTAATGTCAGCTAATAATTATAATTTTGAAAATCTCAAAATCAGTACCTAAATTTCATAAAAGGGCAAAAAAAATCCAAAGTGCACAATGTTGCAAGTAATATCGTATCATGATTATTTTATTTCAGTTGTGTTAGCTTAGTTTCCATGGTTTTAAAAGGAGTATTGATTCATATCCAAAACCAAAAAAATAATAATTTTCATATACTGGTGCTAAAAATGTGCCTTTTAGAAAGAAGTTTAGACTTTTTAGAACAATAAAATTAATTATTCAAGTATTCAGATAAGTGAATATGGTCAATATAACAGAAAAAGAATACTTTATACACTTAATATTTTTCTTCTATAGAAACATAGTGCACCCAAGAAGTAAATGAATATCTGCTCTGAAGAAAAAACTACTTTTTAATTTACCAGTGAAATATCTGAATTCTTGAATCATTAAGAGCCTTAACAGATTTTGCATGAATTAAGGTATCCATAAAGAAATTTTAGTCACAGTTTTACTATTACAGAAGTGCCAGTTAATTCCAAATATAAGTACTATTGTTTGAAAAATAGTTGAATAGCTTACTATAGTGAGAAAAATATAGATTCAGAGTATGCAAATGGAGACACAGGTAGGATTGGTCAGACTTCAGCAATTTGAAAATTTCATTAAATGTTCTGTTTCAGAAGCAATGGGGATCACTTTCTTTTATTTTATTGACACCACAGAAGATGGTCTTTTAAAACCCTTAAAGCTGTTTTAAGAGTTAGTCTCAGGAAAAGATGCCTTGTCTTAGAAAATTCACTCAATTTCATAATCCTTTCTGCTTAAATCCATAGTCATCACAACTCCCCTAGAGCTAATTCATGCACTATGTCTATCTTTAAAGTTACTTTTCAAGAATATTTTTCAATGTTTTGGGCTACCTGTCATCAATACTTTCTTGTACTGATCTCCTCAGCAAAATATTGTACATAAATATGTCTATTGTAAGAAAAACCCAGATGTTGTTCCATACATAATGCAGAATCAAAATAATTACCTAGAAAAATGCTTATTGAAATATACATTGTCTCAAGAATTTTGATATTATAGTTAAAGAAGATAGATTTTACCCTCCTTTCCTCCCCTTCTTGCTCTCCTTCCCTCCTTTACTGCCTTCATTTTCATTTCATTTTCTGAGATTTCCCAAAACCTAATTCATTGTACAAATTGGACTTAAAATTGTTCTTTCAAATTGAGATCATTTGACAGCATTGATCTTTGTAGGCTGCCCATATTTTTATGCATGTGGATTTATCAGGTAAGTACTTCTCTTGCACATTAGACAGCTATTGAAAAAGGAACAGAAGATGGCAACCTAAAATCCAGCAGCATATCACACACCCTCTTTAGGACTTCATGAAGAAAAAGGAAGAAAAGCTCAGAAAAATTAGAAACCATAGAACAACTGAGGACAATGCAGAGAAAAGAAAGGAGCAAGCTGGAATCCTAACCCCACCTCCTAGGGAGGAGGACCTGTCTCCCCAAACATAAGATAAACCTAGAGAGCGTTGTCAGTCTTGGAGAAAAACAACAGGTTGGGCCAGCAGTGGTAGTCATAAGAAAAGCTCACAGTTGGTTTAACCTGCAAATATAGCATGGAGTTTTACTCTAAAAGTTCTCCTTCTCGGTGGCAGACTAGGGTTAGAGAAGAAATCTATTGCAATGCCTGCCATGTTTGAGAGTGGTTAATCAAGAGCCATACTAGGAAAAGGTTAATTGTTTAAGACTGATCAGAAGTTACAGAACTACAGTTCAGGGTTTCTGAGGTTATGTGACCACAGTGACTTGTTTGGAGATGGCCACAAGAGAAAGTTGCAAGGAGTATGTGGGCTAGAAATGAACCTTCTGATATGTTTAAGCAACATCAGGCTTAAATCAGTAAGAACATGATGGTCTTGCCCTCTGAGGTAAGAAGAAAGGCCAGGCCTATGTGGTTTTAGAGGGAGCTGAGTCAAAAAGTGCTAGCATTAAGTCTGGGGGACTGCTTGAAACATCCATCCACTTGCCTTCATACAACAGAGAGCTCAGTGATCTGTTTGCTTTCTTCATCTGCCAAAGTGATCAAGGATATACCTTGGCTTAGACAATTGCCGCATCCTAGAATGTATGGGCAGAGAGGCCACTGGAGCAAGGGAGGCACCTCACAACCTATAGTCCATAAAGCTAACTGGAGAGAGCAGTGACTTGAGACACACAGATGGATATGGACAGTTGTAGCCCTGGAGTGAATACACCCCTAGAGCAGACATTATACCAGTGATTGATGATTGACCCTTCCCAGCAGGACGGAAGTCAGCATTCAGAAAAAAGTTAATTTGGAAATAAAATAGGACCCAATACTGACTACCTCTCCTTTA